TGATGTAGTACAGCCCGTAGGTTTAGAGTAAACACTTGAGCAATAGAACAGAGAAGAAATAAGGGATCGAAGAGAAGAATCAGAGATCAAAGAGACGAAGGGAAGGGGAAGGAATCAGAGAGTTCAAAGTAAGGAAATTTATCATTCATCAAGTCTGCCTTAAAAGATTACAAACAACTCTATTTATAGAGGCAAAACCCTTTTTAGTCTAGGAAAAGGGAAAGTAAACTTTAAGAAATAGGAAAGCAAATTAGCTAATAAGAGATCCCTTAACAAAAAGGAATCTTTAAGAATTAGGAAAACAAATTAACTAATAAGAGATCCTTTAACAAGAAGGAATCTTAAGAATTAGGAAAACTAAAAATAGGAAAACTAATCCAAGTAGAATTAGGAAAACTAATAATATGCATTCTGCATCAGATAGTTTGCACACCAGTTTGGACAAAATTGGATGGATAGTTTCTAATTATAGAGGGAGATGTTCAAGTACATTATTCATTTTTATTTTTTGAATTGCATAGCATTAGCGAACACGTTGCTGCTTAATTATATTTAAAGAATTTTTTTTTTTGGTCGAAATATTTAGAGATTCCACACAGAATGAATGGTTATGCATGGGGCAGAGAGGGAATCTGCATTTGGTGTATTTGGGACTCTAGGATTTTAAATTGACAATTTTCATGTGTTTTTAGACGCCTGTGGAGCCTCAAGGGATCGCGTGAATGTTGAATGCTCCTGCATGAAGAGATGATGAACTGATGACATCGTTTGATATACACATGGTTGCGTACTGTAAATTTTTAATTAGAGCTCGAGATAATGGTTCTCTTCCGCACCTGTTATATATATGCAAAACAGAACTTTTATGCTCTAATTTATTGATTGTCCATCTTCCAATGACTTAACCATATCATGTCCATCTGGAACACCGTAGAACTCTGGGCTAAAGATCCACTTCATACCCTTGCTCTTGTTACTCACTTTGATCAATATTGGTGCAAAAAAGTAGACATAATCAATGTCATTGTCCGTGTCTTCATAGACAGCTAGCGTAGATGTTCAAGCCTCGAATTCTGAGATCAGGCACAATGAAAGATATTGGGGACCCTCTACTTTTATGGCTGATCAACTGGCCTGGAACCTCATCCCCAGCTAAAAATGTGCTGAATATACCATATTCGTACAGTGCCTATATGTAAATATGCCATTGAAATCACAATATTAGTCGACTCTTTCCTATAATCTATGAGTGAGAGAGAGAGAGAGAGAGAGAGAGAGAGAGAAGCGCATACCATGGGACTCCGATCACTAGTATTTATAGCGTGTGGGTTCTCTACCCTTACAGGTGCCATGGATTATAGATAAAACTAGCAAAAGTGCCCGTGCGATGCTGCGGGTTTTAAAACCGTGTCAAATGTATATAAAATTAATTTCAGGGAACCTTCCGACCAAAATTGCATCTAATTACTTTTCTAAATATCCTAATGGTGATCAGGCATTAAGACAATTAGATAGTTAAAAACAGTGATTAACAATTCAAAGCATGCATGCACTCAATCATAAGCAATTAAATAAAAATCACATATTCATGCTAAGGCTCAAGGCTTCACCCTAGCAAAAGAGATTTAGTTACGCATACTCATAATTGAAATCCAACAAAATATCATTAAGAAGATTAAGAATGAAAACACCTGAAAGTCGCGAAAATCCAAAACCCTAGCAATTGCTCCAAAAGCCAAAAAGAAGTTAAAAGGGAGTCCCTAAATTGCTGTGAAAAGGAGCTTAAATACCTCCTAAAACCTAGCTACCCCATTCCCACAAGAAAACTAAGTTAAAATAAAATAAGACTAGGAAATAAAGTCCAAATTGGATTAGGAGAATCTGCCCACAATCTGCTCAGCCACGTTTTGGTCTCAAATCTCCTCCAAATCTGGCACAATATAGCTCGTTTTAAAGATAAAAATATTCCAAACACTTCTCCAGAGGCCACGAACCCATCCGAGGTCATCTTGGGCTCCAAAAATGCAATACAAGCCCAAAACGTCACTATTCCAGCACTGCACATCGCTCCTTCATTTATTCACCATGAAATCATCGCTTGGTGGAAAAGTCTGATATTTTGATATGATCAAGTTAAGTGACGCACGTACGTCCTCCAACTGGAATTACAAAATTCGTCCATTTGATTATGTTTTGCTCCAGAGGAAGTCGACAGTCCTATATTGGAAATATAATTCAAAGTATTAAAATTCTTCCAAAATATTAACCAAAATATACTAAAAATAGGGTTAAATATATAATATAAAATCGACTCATCATAAAACTATTGGGGCATCCCATACGTCATACATGAACCTTTTAAATATGCAATCAAATTGCACATTTTCAATATGCCCAATCTTTAAAAGTTCCTGTAGTTCAAAACAACAAATGCAATCAAATTGCATTTTCAATTGTTTATTATTCAAGTTGCTAGAACGTTCAAAATGGAGCGGTCTGGCATAGTTGTTTCCTGTTATTGCCAGCATATGTTGTCCTGATATTTCTGTAATTCATTCCGTACCAATTTTGCCAATGTGAGCCTCGTCTTCTGAACGCATAGCTTTGTTGTAAATCACAGTGAAGATCTGAATTGGACTGTAAGTTTGACATTTAAAAGAAAAATGGATGCTATGCGTTGACAGTTGCCAATTATTCCCTAGCATGTTCAATTAAAATCTTTCTCCGTTCGTTGTAAACGTTCTCCTGTTTATTGGTGAAAGTCTTTCTGTAAATGAATAGAACAAAAAATCAAGAGAGAACGTTAGAAAAACTTGGTTCAAAAAAAGATGTATTTGATGCTATGAAACGTATAGGTCTTGGGAAGACATTGGATATATATAAAGGGAGAAAGCCACTGTGTCGGGCAATTAACCAGCTGTTGAGTTGAGATGTGCAAATAATTCAGCCACGGCTTTTTGACTGTTACTTCTGTCTGCGTGAGAGAGAAAGCATGAGCTTGCAAGCTGCGGTGATGAGCACCTTCAAGCCATGGAGGCAGCTGCTGCAGTTATTACTGCCTGTGGGGGCTGCAATTGAGCGATCATCCTTTTGCTCCTCTTCATTGTCTGAAAAACATACAAAAATAACATAAAATCCCAATTTAAATTGGAGGAAACTTATTTTTCAAATGAAATATGGACTGACCTGGGAACACCGTAGATAATGAATATCCTATCCTAACAACACAGATTGTGGTGCTAATTTAATTTATTAGGGGTCTTTTTATTTTTATTTTTATAATTTAGTTTATTTTGGAAATAGTTGGACTAAAGTCATCAAATGCGTCAATAAACAACACACCTCTTGTATCTTCATCATTGAACAAGAATTCATAGGTTTGATTCTCCCATGGATCAACAGGAGAACTGGTGGAATTATGAATCATGGTGGTTCTCATCATATTATGACTCTCTTGTTCCACCTGCACAAACTGGATCCCCAACTCCTTTACCTGAAAATATTTCATACGTACTGAAACAACCACTTGATCGCCACCTTCTAAGTGCTCATCCTTAAACTTCCAGAGGCTTAACCATATCATGTCTTCTCCTTCACCTAGAATGCCGTAGAATGATGGCATATAGTACCACTTCAGACCCTTGCTCTTATTACTGACTCTAGTAATCATATTCATATGCACACGATAACGATGAAAACCAGTTATATGATCATAATGAAAATCAGAGCCAGAACTCGCATAGACAGCACAGACGATCAAGCCTTTAATTCTGTGATTATCAAGCAAAGGCACAGTAAACGATATTGAGGACCCTCTACTTTTATGGCTGAATTGGCCTGGAACCTCATTCCCACCAAAAAATGTGCTGAATATACCATTTTGATACAGTCCCTATATATATGCAATGGAAATGACAATATTAGTCAACCATGACTTGTGATCATTAGAGAGAGAGAGAGAGAGGCGCACCTGGACGGGACTCCAATCATACTTCTTTGAAATATAAGATGGTTTGTTCATCCGAATGGGTGCCATTGATTCCAAGTTGCACAATCCCAAGAGGTTGATCATTTCCACATCAACTCTACCAATGGGTTGTAACTTGTACTTGTACTGCCACTCAACTAGGTTGTAGTTGCTACCAAGTGAGATTGACTTAAACTGAAAGGATTGATGTGTCATTTTCTCCAATGAAATGCATTCTGTGATATCCAAGCTCCTTAGTTTTGGTAACTCCAGAAGCGATTTGAGACTTTTACAACTGGAAAAAGAGAGTTCATTGAGCCTCGCTAATCCTTTGATACAATTTGGTAGGCTACTAATTGGATTATTCCCTAGATTTAGTCTTTGCAATGAGGACAAATTACTAAAATCTATAGGAAAGGCATCATCCGAAAGATTGCACCCCCAAAGACTTAATTCTACTAAAGAGCATGGTAAAGAACCCAAGATACTCGATCTTCTTTCTAGCCATAATTCACTTATCGGAATTCTATCCATCTCAAGCACTTTTAACGAGTCCATGTTCCTCAGCGTCTCAATTGATAACTCATTAAGATTTGAGCAACCAGATATAATAAATGTTTCAAGTGATTTTAGCATACAAATGTTCTTGGGAAGCATCCTAATCTTTTTGCAATCTTTCATATTCAAGTAAATAAGTCTCTCTAGGTTTCCAATGGATCCATCGACATAAATCAGGCTTGTGCAGTCTACTAGAACCAATTTCTCTAGATTTGGGGAATATGAGAAGTCAATGATTTCTGTAAGGGAATGAGAATGGCTGAGATCAAGGATCTTCAAGGACGGAAGATACTGTAGGGGAAAAAATGTACAGAAGAAAACAATGTGGGGAGTTAATTGTTATAAATATATAATTTGTTATCAAACTAAAAGCCTAATGAAAATGAAAAAGAAATTGAAAAGAGTAGAGAGTAACATACTTTTGTTCCCTTGAATACTTGTCTCAGACCACTGTATTGCATTTCAAGAATAATAACGCTTTCCAAAGGAAAATCAACGGGTATTGAATCCAAAGGAAACTTAGTCCAACACAACCATCTTAGTCCTGTACAAAATTCTGCATAAGATCCATTAAGTTGTACATGACTAAGATGGAGTAGTTTTAGTTCCCGCATCCTTGAAAATGCATTGGTTTCCAAGACTTTCTCATTTGAGTTTATAGTAGGGCACATGTGCATGTCGAGGACAAGACCTTCAATTGTTTCCGTACCCTACAAAAGAAAAGGAGAAAAACATTTGGAAAATATTTACAAGAAGAAAAACATATATATGTACAAAGAACACATATTTCTTACATTCTTTTCCGTCAAGATTTTGAAAGAGTCCTTATGATGCCATACTCTACTACGCTTCCAAGGCTCATTTGATTCTAAGCGAACAATTTCTCTTCCCATTCCACGAATCAGGTCGTGCATCTGCACCAAGTCCCATCCATCAACTATTGTCACCAAACATCTATCGATGAGATTTTGAATGCCAACAATTGTATAGAAATCACATCCATCCAGTATTTTAGCAATGTAATCTTTGTCCTTTCCGATAAAGAAACAAGCAATGTGGAGGAATAATTTTTGGTCATGGTCATCTTGCAAAGAATCGTAACTTACTCTTAGCTTATTTATTATTTCACCATTTGGAATGACTTTTAATTTCTCCAATGCACTTTTCCATACACCTATACTTTCCCCCAACAACGAAGAACCTAAAACTTGAAGAGCTAATGGAAGTCCTCCGCAATGATCGGCTAGCTTCTCTGAAAATTCTATGTAATCTT